TGTTTGGCGGGTCCGGGCTGGGGATTCGAACCTGCCACCTTAGGTGTACGTGGCTGGCGCCTTAGCCGGTTGAGCTATAGGCGCCGAGCCTCCACTGTCTAATCTTGAGCAAGTGACTTGACCTCTCTCTATGCCTAAATTTCCCCATTTACAAAGTGAAGATCATAGTTTCTACCTGTTGTGTGTTGCAGTTACTTCTGACACCAATTGCTGTTAGGTCAGACATCACGGGGCAAATGCATAGTCTTCTACAAGACCGCCCTCCCTAGAGATGCCAATCACAAGTTTGGAGGTCTCACTATCACCTTAGGTTTGATAATTCACAAGAATGACTCAGAACACAGGAAATCCCTATACTTAAACAGTAAACTTAAAATTACAGTCTTTTTATAGCAAAGAAGATACACATCAGAACGAGCTAAATGAAGAGACTTGTAGGATTAGGCCTGAGAGCATCTCATGCTTGAAGCTTCTGGCATCCCCTCCCTGTGGGATCAGGATCTGTTTCTGTCCTGGCACATTTGTCTATAATGGTCACACAGAGGACAGTCAGCCAGGGAAGCTCAGACAAGCTTGGCGGTTCAGAGTGTTGGTAGGGGTTTCATTACATAGACTGATTAAGTCTAGGCCCAGTGATTGAGCCCAGTTCCCACCCCACCCTCTTCCTCTCTATGAAGTCACACTGATAGCAAGGGACACACACTCCATCCTTCTTTCTGGGATGGGCAACCTCCACTCTGAGTCATCTCGCAAGTACAAACTATCTAGGGGCCACCTCGAGTCTCCCCATTAGCACCTGTGATCAGGGCCCACAGTGAATCACAGGACACTTACCCCTTGAGAAAGTCCAAGGATTTAGAAGCCACCTCCCAGGAACAGGGGACAAAGGCCAGCCAAGTTCTCTGTTGTATAACAGGGTTACTTCAGGCGATTTGTATGGAACACAGCATGGGACAGCACTCAGAACACAGCAGTCACTTCAGGCAGCAGGTGTGCAGTGCGTTTGCCGTTGGCTTCGGCCCGGTTTTGAAAGTGGTGATCTATTGCCACCTGACTTTCACTGATTCATTTTATTCTTGTCCATTTACAGGATAAATAAATGAGTACTCTCTACATCAGATTTGCCAATACCTATAAAATTGGTAACATGTTAGTACTTCAGTTTCTAGTTTATCTCTGTGTTCTTTGTGCTCAGATCTGCTTCATGTTAATTGAACTTTTGGATGTTTCTTGTGTATAAAAGGGTGAAGTGAACCGAACACAGTGTTGCTTCTCTGATGACAGCTGCAGCGATTTTTCCCATATTATATCTTAGATTAGTATGTTTCTTATGTTTTCATAACTGGCTACAAACTATATACTTGTTCAAGCATATCTACTAGATTTCATATGGACATTGTATCTCTAAGGATAGCACTTTTGTGATTAAGTTAGCAAAGTTAGTTCCTCCCTCCCTTCCCTTCCAGCCCTCGCCCTTGGTAGAGTGCAGTGGTGTCACAGCTCACAGCAACCTCAAATTCTTAGGCTTAAGCGATTCTCTTGCCTCATCCTCCCAAATAGCTGGGACTACGGGCGCCCGCCATAACACCCTTCTGTTTTTTTTGTTGCAGTTGTCGTTGTTTAGCTGGCCTGGGCCTGGGGTTTGAACCTGTCAGCCCCGGTGCATGTGGCCAGCACTCTAACCACTGGGCTATGGGTGCCGAGCCTGTGCAGTCTCTTTAAATTCAGCTTCTGCAGGAATGTGTAGTGGTATTTCATTTTGATTTTAATTTGCATCTTACTGATTAATGATCCTGAGCATATTTTTATGTTTATTGACCATTTAGACATCCTTTTTTGTGAAATGTATGTTCAAGTCTCCTACTCATTTTTATTTTACATCCAGTCATCATCAGTTGGTGGACATTTGGGTCTTTTTCTTATTACTTTGCACGATTTGTTAATGTACATATTCTGGTTATTTATGTCCTTTGTCAATTATGTGCATGGCAGGTACTGTCTGCTCCTTTGTGGCTTTTGACTTTTCACTTTCTTAATGGCATCTTGTAATAAACACAAGTTCTAGATTATTTTTAATGCGACCAACTTTCTGTTCACAGAAACCTCCAGCTCCTGGGCTTAGGTGATTCTCTTGCCTCAGCCTCCAGAGTAGCTGGGAACACAGGTGCTTGCCACAACGCCTGGCTATTTTTTTGTTGCAGTTTGGCCGGGGCTGGGTTTGAACTCGCAACCCTTGGTATATGGAGCTGGCGCCCTACCCACTGGGCCACAGGCGCCACCCCACATTTCATTTTGAATATGCATATTGTGTTGACTTGGAACCAGTTTTTAAAAGCTCCTCCTATCTGTATCCCTGTTCCCCAGTCCTATCCTTGTTGCTATTTCTGTGGATTTTGTGTGGGAGGACTCTCTCTTCTCTTCTGTTAGTCTGTCTACTGTTAGAATTGCTGTAACTTCATGAAATGTCTTGTTCTTCTTTTTCAAGATTATTTCAACTATTTTTGGCCTGTTTCACTTCCATGTAAGTTTTAGACTAAATTTGTCAAGTTCCATTTTTATTCTTTTTTTTTTTTTTTTTTTTTTTGAGACTAGGTCTTAGTAGAGTGCTGTAGTGTCACAGCTCACAGCAACATCAGACTCTTGGGCGTAAGTGATTCTCTTGCCTCCGCTTCCTGAGTAGCTGGGACTACAGGTGCCTGACACAATGTCTGGCTGTTTTTTTTTTTGTTGTTGTAGCTGTCATTGTTGTTTACCAGGCCCAGTCTGGGTTCAAACCCACCAGCCCCAGTTTATGTGGCTGGCGCCCTAACCACTGAGTTATGGGCACCAAGCTATGTTCCATTTTTAAGAGTTCACATTTTGGTTGAGATTGAACTGAATCTATAGATCAGCCAGTTATTATTACATTGTAATAATGGAATATGTAATAATATTGGAATGTAATACTGGAATCAGCCAGTCTGTGAACGTGGCATATCTGATCATATATTTACATTTTCATTCATTTCTCTCAACAATTTTTAAAAACATAACAGATTTACTGAGATATAATTCATATATGGTGAAGTTTACCATCTTAAAATGTACAATTCAGTAGTTTTTAGTACAATTGGCAGAATTATGCATTCATTACAACCATCTTATTTGAATCCAGCCTGGGCTGTCAAACAACAACCATCTTATTCTAGAATGTTTTTATTACCCTCAAAAGAAACCTTTCATCCTTCGTAATTACTTGGCATTCTCAAGACCAGCCTAGGGAAGATAGCAAGATGCTGTCTCTACAAAAACCTTTTTAAAAATTAGCCAGAACATAGTGGCATGTGCCTATAGTCCCACCTACTTGGGAGCCTAAGGTGGGAGGATCACTTGAGCCCAGGAGTTCAAAGTTGCAGTGAGTTATGATTGTGCCACTGCACTTGAGCCTGGGTGACAGAGTGAGAGGAGAGAAGGGAATGGAAGAGAGGAGAGAAAAAGAAATAGCATCAGTGCAGAGTTTGAAGAAATCAGAACCCTGAAATGGGTGTGTTTTTCATGGTTCTGTTTCTGTTTGAATGTTCTTAAGGTTTATAGTGAAGTGTGTGCCTAAGAAGTGTATGCTGGCGTGTGTGCTCTGTGAAAGAGTTAGTCTCACTCTGTCGCCGTGGGTAGAATGCTGTGCCATCAGCTCACCATAACCTCAAAACTCCTGGGCTCAAGTGATCCTCTTGCCTCAGCCTTCCAAGCAGCTGGGATTATATGCACCTACCATAATGCCCATCTAGTTTTCCTATTTTTAATAGAGACATAGAGACAGGGTCTCGCTCTTGCTCAGGCTAGTGTCAAACTCCTTAGCTCAAGTAATGCACCTGCTGCCCTAACTTCCCAGAGTGCTGGGATTACAGGCGGGAGCTACTTTGCCTGATGAGAGCAGAGACTTGTTCACTTTGTTGAATGATTCATCCTAAGTTCCTAGACCAATACCTAGATCATAGAAGGCAATCAATAGTATATGTAGTGTAACTGAATGAATGCTGAGCATAATTATTCATGTTGAGGTGTATATTGATTGAAAGGGTAAGTATACAATTTGTGCAAGTTTTCTTACAACTTTATCAAATGACTATCTTATATTTGCAGATGGAGTGGTTCAATCATTATAAAAAGTCTCTTGCTACTTATATGAGGTCACTCGGTGGAGATGAAGGTTTGGACATTACACAGGATATGAAACCTCCAAAAAGCCTATATATTGAAGTACGTATACCTTTTAAAAGTGCATTTCTTTATATGTGTGGATCGTGTTTATATCTTAGCTTCTATTATGAAACATAAACCACAATGAAAAAAAACTACCTATAATGGGATAACAGAATAGGAGAGAGCAGCTGAAATTTTCTGCATATACCTATTTTAATAATTTTGGTCACACGTTGCTTTCTTAACTTTCTTCTGTCTTCCTTTTGTTTTTGAGTGTCTTTGATGCAGTTGTTACAAAGTCTTTGTGGTAGGTCTGCCATCAGGTCTTTTTTTTTTTTTTGCAGTTTTTGGCCGGGGCTGGGTTTGAACCCACCACCTCCGGTATATGGGACCAGCACCCTACTCCTTTGAGCCACAGGCGTTCCCTGCCATCAGGTCTTTTTCAGGGATAGTTTCTTTTTTTTTGAGACAGGAGCCTCCAGCTGTGCCCCTGGGTAGAGTGCCATGGCATCTCAGCTCACAGCAACCTCCCACTCCTGGACTCAAGCGAGTGTCCTGTCTCAGCCTCCCAAGTAGCTGGGACCACAGGTGCCCGCCACAACGCCCGGCTATTTTTTGGTTGCAGCTGTCATTGTTGTTTGGTGGGCCAGGTCGGATTCGAACCCGCCACCTTGGGTGTACGTGGCTGGTGCCTTAGCCACTTGAGCCGCAGGCACCAAGCCTCAGGGATAGTTTCTATTGATTTTGTTTTCCTTCAAATATTCCATACTTTCCTGTTTCTTTGTATGCCTTGTAATTTCATTTTATTGAAAATGAGACATTTAAAACTAATAATGTGGGCCAGGTTTGGTGGTTCACGCCTGCAATCCCAGCACGTGGGAGGCCGAGGCAAGTGGATTGCTTGAGCACAGGAGTTTAAGACCAGCCTGAGCAAGAGCAAGACCCCGTCTCTAAAAATAGTCAGGCGTTGTGGTAGATGCCTATAGTCCCTACTCGGAGGCTGAGGCAAAAGAATCACTTGAGCCCAAGAGTTTGAGGTTGCTGTGAGCTGTGATGCCACGGCACTCTATCAAGGGCGACAAAGTGAGACTCTGTCTCAAAAAAAAAAAATAATGTAACTCTTTAAATCAGATTCTCCACTTTCCCCAAGGTTTGCTGTTCTGTTATTATTTTTGTTCATTGTTGTGTATCTGATTGTAGTAGGCTGTCTCTGTGCCAAAGCTCAGCCTGAGGTGTAATCTTAAGGTCTTCTCAGGTCTATTCTGAGCCTGCACCTTTCCCTGGACATGTGTGGTCACTTTCTAATTTTCCCTTCCTATACAGTCGCTTTCAGGAGCCTCTCTTGAGCCCTGTCCTGCGAGGCTGCCTCTTTCTCCATGCACTTCTCAGCACTCCTGGAAGAGAGCCTGAATATTGACAGCGATTGGAAGAAGCTCTTCCAAAAAACAACTTGCAGACTTCCCTGTGTCCTGTTCTCAGATATCAGTATTTCATGGGAGGGGTCTTTATGAAGCAGGTTGAAACAAATGGAAAATGTACATTATAGACACATATCCCACCTGCTTAACTTTTCGGCCTTGGCAGAGGGGAAATGACCCAACAATGTTATCTTTCTTCCCCAGCTCATTTTCAGAGATGTTGCCACTCAGCTTTACTGTCAAAACAGGACAGGGGAAGCCATTAGAGCACCATAGTGCAGTACCAGGCACAGGCACACGGAGAAGCAGCACACAGAAAGCTTAGTACTTGTACTATGGGCATATTCGTAATGCCTGTTCACTTTTTAGTCACTACGTATTAAAAAATGGTTTTGATAAAGCATCAGTCTTTTCTTTCAGGTCCGGTGTCTAAAAGACTATGGAGAATTTGAAGTTGATGATGGCACTTCTATCCTGTTGAAAAAAAATAGCCAGGTATTTGTCTTCAGATACTTTAAATCTTATAAGAGTGTTGAGTGGCAGAAATGTTGGGAGTGGGCATGGTGGCTCACACCTGTAATTCCAGCACTCTGGATGGCTGACGTGGGATCTCTTCAGGTCAGGAGTTTGAGACTAGCCTGAACACAAGTGAGACTCTGTCTCTACTAAAAGTATTAAAAAATTATCCACATGTTGTGGCACATGCTTATAGTCTCAGCTCTTTGGGAGGCTAAGGAAGAAGGTCACTTGAGCCCAGGTGTATGAGGTTGCAGTGAGCTATGATCACGCCACTACACCCTGAGCAATAGAGTAAGACTATCAAAAAGAAAAAAAAAATTGGGGTTAATAGCAAAACAAATAAGACCTTGTGATGTTCATTTATATCTTAGGCATTATGTTTAGTAATACACCTATTCTGCACTTATCTCTAAATATTAAGACTTGAAGTAATGTTGTCTATAATAGGGTTAATTTACTGGGGTATTGCTTACATATATAATAACACTAAGCATTTTTTTTTGTATCATTTATTTTTTTAAATTATTTTTTATTAAATCATAACTTTGTACATTAATGCATTTATGAATACTAAGCATTTTTTAGGGAGTTGTTTTTTTTTTTTTTCTCCTCAAGCTGTCATCCAGGATAGAGTGCTATAGCATCATGGGTCATAGAAACCTCCAACACTTGGGCTCAAGCAATTGTCCTGCCTCCACCTCCCAAGTGCCTGGGACTACAGGCATCTGCCATAATGCCTGGCTATTTTTTGTTGCAGTCATCGTTGTTGTTTGGCAGGCCCAGGCTAGATTCAAACCTGCCAGTTCAAGTGTATGTGGCTGACACCTTAGTTGCTTGAGCCGTAGGCGCCGAACCTGGGGAGATTATTATAGTGGGCCTTATTCTGGTTAAGTAGTCGATTATCATCCAGGGTCTGTTGAACTGTTGAATTTAGTTCCTTTCTTCAAATTATCATTTATAAGAAGTTGCTAAGCACTCATTTTAGCTAATACTTCACTGTACTTTATAAACCTTAGTTTCTTTAGCAAATAGTGGTACAGAGAAGAATTTCTAAGTAGTTAGCATATAAATAGCAGAATCCGATAGGGAAAGATTAAAATTATAAAGCTGTAGGATATCCTAAATTTTTCCTCAGAAACAATCCCAATATATTATATCCTTAGACATCTTCAAATTCACATTAGCTAAATTAGCATTAGCTGAATTTTTTTCCTACCCTAGTTTTCTGAAGTTACAGCATAGGATGACAGGTTGGCTCATTTCCCTAACTAGTTTTCTGAGGTTATATAGCACAGGATGACAGGTTGGCTTATCTCCCTAACAGGGTGAGATGACCTCTTATTTTACTAGCATGCTTGGAGCTTTAAATGGTTTTCAAAAAGACTGACTAGTCTTTGGTTGTGGAAGCAACAATTTCACTCCCAAGTGTCCTTTCAGGAATCTTACATTTCTGGAGGTCCCATGAGGAAGCTCTGGTTCACAAGAACTAATAAGCCACCTCATAAAGCAAGATACAGGAAACATTCCTTTATCCCAAACATCGCCCCATGGTGGAATTTCTTTGTCAAACTTGATGGCTGGTCTGCCCACCAGTGCGCAGGGCCGTTGTGATCTTCTGTGTAGACCATGCAAAAACCTTCCTCTTGGTGATGCTTTTGTCTCAGCTGTGACCCTACTCTCAATTATCAAAATGGGGGACATTAGAAGAAAAATATAATTAACCTTAGTAAGTATTAAGGGGATTCTAATATTCAACTATGTGTCAATTTTGTTCTTTTTATTTGAGACAGAGTCTCATTCTGTCACCCTGGGTAGAGTCCCATGGTGTCATGGCTCACGGCAAGTTCAAACCTTTTGGGCTCAAGCTGTCCTCTTGCCTTAGCCTCCCAGGTAGCTGGGACTACAGGTGCTCACCATGACACCTGGCTAATATTATTCCTATTTTGAGTAGAGAGGGGGTCCCACTGCTCAGGCTGGTGTTGAACTACTGAGCTTAAGCAATCTGCCCATCTCAGCAGAATGCTAGGATTATAGGTATGAGCCATTACACCTGGCCTATATGTCAATTTTTTATAGAATTGGTGGTGTAGATCATTCACATAATGTAAAAGTATTAATAGGGAGATGTTTTCTTAACATATAGGTCGGGGGCTGGGTGTGGTGGCTCATGCTTGTAACCTCAGCACTCTGAGAGGTGGAGGCAGGTAAATCACTTGAGCTCAGAGTTTGAGACCAGCCTGAGTAAGAATGAGACCCCCCCATCTCTAAAAAATAGCCGAGCATCGTGGTGGATGCCTGTAGTCCCAGCTACTTGGGAGGCTGAGGCAAGAGACTTGAGCCCAGGAGTTTGAGGTTGCTGTGAGCTATGACACAGCAAGAAAGTAAGACTCTGTCCCAAAAACAAAACAAAATATGAGGTCAGACAGTTAAGTTTGCAAACTCGTCTGAGAGAAAGTGCTGCTCAGCTCATTGTTGAATACCCCTGTGGTCACCTCTGAAGGGCTCCCTTGGGCAGCTGTACATGAATGCCGTAAGTGGGTCACCCTTCATAGCACTTTTTCTTGTATGGCAATAGCTCTGATGGCCAGTCATTCCCTAAGAGTTCAAAAATTGTTCTGAAGGGTAGACTAGGTGCCTGTATCAGCACACAGCTTCCCTAGGGGAGGACTTTGAAGGTGGACTGGGTGCCTGTGTCAGGGCACAGCTTCCCCAGGGGAGGACTTTGAAGGTGGACTGGGTGCCTGTGTCAGGGCACAGCTTCC